GATTCAGGATTGCATCAAAAAAATATCAGCAAACTGAACGGGTCTGTGGCTATGAGACCAAACACAAGTCCTACTCCAGGTTCAGCACATCAGTGCAGAGCTGTTCTGTTGTGTTGCCACACCAACAGTCTTCACTCACACCCCTCACAACTTGCAAATCTGCTTCCCTGAGACTTGGAGTAGACACAGTGGAGGAGATTGGGTTTTTGTTTTATATCCCTGAATGTTACAATCACACCTTGCACTGTGGAGTGAAACGACACGCCACTGGTCTTTCAGCTTTTTTTAAAAAAAAAAAAAAAAAGGAAATAGAGATTACCAATCACAAACTGTCAAACTATACTTGCCAGCATTTCAACTCAATATAATTAATTACCGTTTATGTTTATATTAAACATAGACAACAAAAAAAAGAGGAAATATTAATTAGTATTCCCACTGCACAACTGTAGTTTCTAACCTGTAACCCACCCAACATTACTTCTAAACACTACAGCTGTCTCACATTGACTGCACAAATAAATGAACTACACAAAATAGAGCAGCCCCCTCCCCATACAGTCACACACAGTCACACCTCAACCAAGGCAATTGAGGATTAAACCTGCAAACTTTCACACTGAATCGGATCACCGAGCAAGCCGGTTGCATAGCTGTGATTATGTTGCTTAGTGAAATACTGGCTTCTGCTCTCTGTAAAGCAAAAGAAAAACTGTTGTATGGAACATGAGGATTAAGAGGTAGAATGAGCCAGGGAAATAAAGGTTTCATAACGTGAAAATCTGTAAGGTAAATGTCTAAAGTTACAGAAGCTGCTCTCTTGAAGGTTTGGGGCCATCTGCTGCTAAGGCAAATTAAACACAGCTTAATGAATCCTGGACCTGGCATGTAGTACAGACCAACTACAAGAGCACAATATGCAAGTGAAACCGCTTAGATTTAATAAAGTCCATGCATTAATAAATAAAATTTGCTGATCAACAGGCTTGAAATTTGTAAAAGTACTTTATCTGGGAAAAATGAAGACTAGGTACTGTCACAGCAATGACAACCGTCACTAGAGAAAAGAGACAGTAGTGAATCGGTGAAGGGCATAAAACAGTTTCACAGAGCTGTCAAATGTTGCTTAAAATAGCCATTTCAAAAAGAAAGAAATAATGCAGTAACTGTGTGAATCAATGACAAGGGTATACAGGAGCCAGCAAGTGGAAGATGCCGTTGGTTACAGTGTCCATCACTGATGGTATTAAAGTAAATGAGTAAGTCCTTACCTCCTCCACTGAAACAGGCAGAACAACTCGGCTGTAAGAGAAAGAACACATCGCAGTCAGAAACCTCTGCCCAAATCTGCAAATCATTTTACATCTAACACCAGCTGCCCATTCACATGATGCCAGCTTATTGATGAACTGATCAAAAACTGCTTCCAGACTAGGTGGCGACATCCACAGCTGAATATTGAGGCAGGAAGAGGACCAAAAGTTCCTCTAATAAATGCAGATTCCACAAACTTCCATGTAAAGTTGCAGAGATGAAATCAGCGCATTTACCAACTGCTAGAAGAAGCAGCTTTAGCCTCAATGCTCAACTGCTCTTCATAACACTTTACCACTTGAATTTGGTTAAGATGGGAATTAGTGTCACTTTGGCAGATCCGCCACCAACAGCAGCTCTGGCAGGTCACTGCACCCAGGCCTCGCCTCAGTGCGTTTGTGGTCAGGATATCTTCTGAGAACGGACTGGACCTCTTGACCGTGTTTCTGATGCTTTCTGGAGCACATAATGACCTGATAAATACTATTACTCTGGTTTGCTTCAGTATTTTTAATAGTCTGGTACTGCACTAATTAGTGAATATTGGTGTCTGCATTTTGCACAGATTCCAGAGACTGGATATAAAAGATGGAAATTACCATTGGGGCGTCCCCTTTGGTTTCTATACCAATTGTTCTTGCTTTGCCTGCAGCCACTGTCAGTAAGTGGCCAGCATTAGAGGCTTTAGTGATGAGCTACTTGTTAACGATAGCAAACTTGGTTACCAAGTTGCATCCACAAACAGGCTGTCAATTAAACAGTTTAATAATCAATACAAATTATGTGCATTTATCTTGTTGGATGCATTTTAGTTTTTGTTGTATTATTATCTAAATTACTTTAATTCAACAGCAACCAGGACAATATTTAATTATTGTAATTATTTTTTTAATTTACATTTGCTGAGTTTGCCCTAAAATAGAGGTTTTAATAAGTAAATTCATAGAAGTTACCTTCTACCACAATATTTGGTGAACTCTCCTATAGAATCAGTGTTAGATTCTTCAAGTGCCACACCTCTGATGTCATCATGTTGGCTACACCCATCTTTTCTATACAGTCTTTGTCCACCAATTTGATTTTTTTTTTTTTGGGTGGTGTTGGCTATTTCTACACCTTTAGGAGCGACTTACTGGAATACTTGTGGCACGTTCCTTTAACTGGGAGCTACGGAACTGATATAATTTCTGAGTCCGAGTACCCAGAACCTGGAGGCGCAGCCATAAAGATAGCAAATATCACATACAATGCTCCCTCTTCCAGAGGCTCCAGCTTGTTCAGACCCTGCACAACAACATCATGATTTATAGGAATGAATCATTATCACTAGGAAGTAACACGGTAGTCAGTTCTCTGCAACCACAGGAACCTAGAAATGAGGAAGCGGAAATTATCAAGCTGTAATCAAGACCGCTGCAAAACCCAAACAAACAATGCAGACGCTTTTAGAGGAAACTCTACGTGTGTGCGCATGTGCTCTGCGTGCGTAGCCCCCTCTCCTATGTCATAACACAATCCCCACCTGCTTTAGCCTGAGTATTTGCAGGCATGAAGGTGACAGAACATGAGGTTACGTTTCTGTGACCATAAACTGGAAGAAAAAGCAGCACTGGGCAATCCTCTTTAACTCCTGAGCCTCTTATTGTACTTTGCACTGTGGTCAAATGACAGCCATGTCAGAGGTGTCAGCCAGCCATGATTGGCACATGACACTATCGCGGCAAAAGCACCCGGCAGCTGATTCTTCCCATTTGAGGCACATGTGATAAACTGGCATTATGAGCTCCTGGTCTTGTTAAACGTTCTCAAACTCCTCCCCAATTCTTATGGTTTTCCTGACAAGTTCGAGGCTAAGCAAGTATGAATTACTATATTTTACATTTACAACATCTCGTTTAAATGTTACACTTCGGTTTATATTACATACTGTAATAAACTCTTTAAGTCAAAGAAAGTTAAACTTTTCGAGTTTTCTCGCGGCACTCCTTCCTACTAATCTGAAGTGTGATGTCAGCAGTGGATTTACCTCTGCTGACAGCGCCTAGCCTAACCTAAAGTTTGACGGTGTCCGGAGTTCTGCCGTTTGAAACTTTACACCCTGTGACTAAATTATTTCCTGAGTGGTCCTTTATTTCTGTAATCCTGCTAACGACTCAGTAACACTTTAAACTGCTAAAAGCTCAGCTGACTTCAAAGAGCAAATAAATACATTCATCCTGCTGTAATGGTCCATATTTCAACACAAACGCGTCCCGGCTCGCTTCTTTGTCGGGTGGAAGGCGACAAAGTTCAGATACTCACAACTCTTTAATCAGCATGTCGGTCGTGTCCGTACAAAATGCTGCATACGAGTTAGAAAACTTCTTCTCTAACTGTGACAGGAGCACTTCATTCACTGCCTGCCGCTGGGGTTCACTCCGGGAAACTCCGGCTTTCCTTCCTGTGTGTGAGCGAAGGGGCGCGGCGGGAAGGAAGGAGGCGGCACACACCTTTAGCTCAGGTGCCTCCGTGTGACGTTCACGTGCAGTCGTGAAACCTTCGACCAGTCTTTAAGTGAACGTTTAAGTTGCCTTTTCTTGTTATCACTTTCCTTTAAATATCTTCTCACAGTGTCATTAATTTAGTTTATTCTCGCAGCCAACACACCGCATCGTTTATAGCCTGAGCTAATCTGCAATGACCCTAGTTGGGGCCTTTAAAATACACATTAAACACACATTAAAACACAAAAATCAAACACAACAAAAACAGAGACTGCAGTATAATATAACATCATAGCAAAACAGCAGCTTATTCGTGTCTGTATGACTGGTTCATTTTTAATAAGTGTTTCAGTTTAATGTTAAAAATGCTCAACTCCTGAAGGCAAGGAACAGAAATGAAAATTTCCATTGAGGCACCTTTCAATTTCCAGTGGATGCTCCACACTATACTGAACACAGAGCTCTCAAAGGAACCACAAGGTCACTGAGCATTATGTAAACAGAGATTAGATTAGTGAATGTGACAAAACTGTCAACATCTAACACGTTTACTTTCTTACGCTCTTTGCAGCGGTGCACGCTTATAGGTTGAATGTCTGTTGTTGTAACTATTCTGCTACTGTCAATGCTTCTGTTCCAGTATCAAAACCAGTCAAATAATAATTTGTAAAATAATGGGGTAGGTATCAGTTTAATAGCTCTGATGGGAAGCAGAAACCACAAAACGGACGTTTTCACACACTTTAAAGCTCATCTTTACTGTCTATGCATGGCCCACTGATTTCTGTGAACTTAACAGATGTGTCCGCATGTGTTAATAGCAAATAGATGGTGCATAACTGAGACATTTTATAGTGAGTCTCATGATTGCTTGTATGTTTTTTTCATTTAGATCTTTGATCCTATCTCACCAAGTATCCGATAATAATGTACATTTCCTTGTCTTCTTAGTGGGTGGAGTGTGTGTCAACGCCCAGTGTGGTCTAACCAGTACAGAGAGGAACAGTTAACTCAGGTTGAACCTGTTGTGAATGAACTGTTTTCACTGCTGCTGCTCAACAGGTTTGCTTTCAGACTTGACTCTCTGTTGCTTTACTTCGAAATCGGGTGGTTTCCGTCCTGCTATGCTATTTAACTGCAGATACCACAAGCTTCCATATTGTAGTACCTGCACATCTCTACTGGAAATAAGAGACACAGCAGTACAAATTATTGTTTATTTTGCTTCATATATTGATTTTTTTTTTTAGTTGAAACAGCATCTGTTGGAAAGTCCAAGACAATGGCTATACTGTGGTACAAGACAAAAGAAAAACCAACATACACTGTAAGACAATACAAAGACATTCTTGTAAACATCAGAGGTAAACAAGCATAATAAAAGACAGAAAAACTAAAATTAAGCATGGTAGGTAGATAAAAAAAATGTCAGAGTTTCAGCTCCAATCTAGATTTTCTATCAGTACACAGTGACATAAAACACAACACACAGAAAGGTTGTCTGTGAATTCATCATGAGAAAAAAAACAAATAAGTCATCAATACATCGATCAATAAACCAATTCCAATTATCAGAGGTTCGGGTTAAGCTATGAAGGTGAGGATGCCGAGAGGATGGGGTGAGGTGTTTCAGGTACACCAATGAAGGAAAAGTGCTGATTGGTTTACAGTTTGTGAAAAAAAAAATAAACTCACTCGTCCACAAAGTGTCTGTCTTCACATGACATTTACATGTGATGTTATTCCTGCACAAGCTTGTACTCAGAGGACACTTCTTTAAGTTACAGGAAACACCAGCATGCTACCAGAGGCACTCTCTATGGAGTCCAGATAGGGCTTTAATCATATGAAGGACAACTGTACCACAAATAAAACTGTACATTTGTAAGTGAAGATATGAGCACTGACTTTACATTCTTTACATTTCCATTAAAAAAAAAATCCATTGTGTTGTATCCCACAAGCACAAAACTGTTATTGAGAGGTTGTCTTTGTGTGGATCTGAATTTACAAAATACAAATAAAGATGGCAGAATGATAAATATTTAGATCTGTTCAGGTCTGATATATCCAATACCTTTTGTGTTAGCTAACTGCTCCAAACAACAAGACATGTGGATGTATGAAATAAGATCTGCATTTATGGAAATACAGTCAGTCAGGATTGTAATATATGACCAAAAAGGCCACCATTCAGTTAGATAAAGAGATGCAAACACCTTTAATTACAAATGCACACTTTTTCCCTATCATCCAACTAAAATCATTTCTGCACCAACTTTAACCCATACAGTCTTCTACTGATTCTTTAAACCTTAATTAGCTCATCAAGGATGAGATTGTTGCGACTGGTTCGTCCTGTGAAGGTTGCAGAACTGAAAGACGAGTCTCTGCCCCACTGTCCAAGCACAAAAAGGCAATAAAGGGAACGTGTGAAGCAAGGGCATTATACAAAAATAACTGAATTGTAAATTACAAATCTAGATTTTAAGTTCAGTCTACATTCTTTGCATCATGCACCATCCATAAGCAGCCATGCACTGTGTGATAGATACATGGGCAGGCAGGTCCGTTTTAGAGGCTCTAAAGTGCATCGTGTGCCGTTCTTGTCTTAATGAAGTCATTCGCTGGGAGCATATGATGGCTGCAGAGCTTTGTCTCTCAGTTCTGTCAGTAAACATTTTAAGGTGTGCTTGAGTAGGTAGCACAGATGAAAGGATAGATGAATGGATGATGGCTAGATGGGAGGAAGAGCGGGGCTAAATGCTACCCAGATCCACTACCCCTATCACAGTGAGGAGCTCTGAGGGTCATGAGGCTGTCTTTGGATGTGCCTCTGTCACCGTACTGCAAGTTGGGGGCGGGGCGTGTCAGAGGAGCTTCTCTGTATGACATTTGAGGACAGCAGATTGAATTATTATCTCCCTGCTCCATCGTCTACACATTCCATGCTTCTGTTCTGGGCTTCTGCTTGAAAGACAAAGACTGCTTTATTGTCTGTACTTAGGTTCAAGGTTCAAGGTGGAGCAAAAAATAGGTAAAAAACAAGAAAAGTAGATAGTCGGAGCGGAGTGGTCAGGAAGGCGTCTCGACGTGGCCGTGCCATCTTTACTTAGTCTCAGAACGCTGGTGTCTTTCCTCAGAAGCTGGAAGATTGTGTCTATTTCACTCTGCTACCATCAAGCTAAATCTCCCTTTGTCTGTAAGAGGTGAATTCAAGAATCCCAGAGTTTGTGTGACCGAGCAGAAGTGATACCAAGCAAAACATAATCTGACTGATTCTTTGGAACATGTCTTAAGTTGGTAATCTGATGACCTTAACAGTGCCTTAAAGCAAATGCAACGGACACATTTCTGTGATTAAACTAGCACCTTTTTGTGATTTGGAAATGCAGTCCACTGAATGTCCTGTCTGTCTGGATTTCAGCATGTTATACCTCGCTGAAGACTTATTGCTACAACCAATCAAGATCCTAAAATTCACCTAGCTACCACACCAACCTTTGAAAACACAATATGTCTAAAATCATTTCCACCTTAATAGCTTGAGATCATGCAAAAGAAATAAACACCTAACACACAAGATCATATTGCAAGTAAATACAAAAAAAAGGTTACATATTTCAAACATATGGACAAAGAAACAAAACAAAAGAAAATAATGGCAACAGTAATAAAGGACCAGCACCATCGCTGGCATCGTGCAGTGTGTGTCTAACCCAGTCACGCACACACTGAGGCTATGTAACGTGCGCTGAGCTCAAACCTGTCCAGGTTTCCATCTAAACTGCTACCAGTGCTGCTGTCTGTGGGTTCTTATTGAGTTAATGCCCTTGTGCACAAGAGAGCACGGAGATGCCGTGGCCCAGCATCTCCGTGCTGAGTGGGTCTGAGTATGTGTGCTTCTTCTCACCGAAACAAAAACCAGACCATCCTGGGCAATCATAAAGCAAATGTCTAAAACCTTTGAACACTGCCACTAACATTTGTTTTGGCATCCTCTTCTCCTGTGGTCTCTTAAGTAGGACTAGGAGAAGCTAAACCAGCATGAAATACAAAATGAAGACATGAAGAAAAAAGTGAGAGAGGAGGAACCTTTGGGGAGGTTGAAGCAGCTGCTTCTTTTCTCTCCCTTTAGTCAGTTTTCTCCTCAGTTCACGGGTGAAGTCAAGGAACTGAAAGCTCTCCATGTGGAAAGGATGTGTGTGTGTGTGTGTGTGTTAGGGGTTCTTCACAGAGAGGGTGAAGGCGGTGTCACAGTGGTGTTCAGTCACATATGGGTGTCAGTATGATGGTGGAAGTGTGTGCATGTGTGAGCATGCGGAATGTAAGATTTGTGAGTGTGAGGTGCGGCGGTCTCAGAGTGAATTCGTTCGTCACATGTCCCACAGTAACGTGACCTCAGTCCCCTCCATCTTTAGTGTAGCTCATCTACTTTGTAAAAATCGTCTTCATGCCCGTCTACACGCAGGCCTCGGGCGTGCTGCCGTTGTTCATCTTAACGTAGATCTTGGGATCTTTGTCACGTTCGTCTCGGAGGCGCTGGAGCTGGCGGCTGTGGTACAGCAGGTAGAAGGGCAGGCAGAAACCCAGCATGCTCAGCACCAGGAGACCCACGTTCACCTGGGCACCGCGTGAGTAAAGCAGTTAGATAGAATGATATGGTAAACTTTGAATACTACACTCTTTAAAGCCAGTATCTCCATATGTGCATCATCTTACCCATAGGGGGTCTTCCTCCAGGGGTCCCACCATGGCCATGAAGAGAGGTTGCTGGAGCAGGGCGAACAGAGCGCTGATCAGAGACTGCATGCCTGTCAGGCTGCCAAACTGAGAGGATGGATACCTGCAGGGGATAAACAGCATGAGTCATATGGGAAATTTGAACACATTTGTCACATAACTAACCTGAGTGAACTATCAGGCCCATTAAATCAATTTACAGTGAGTCAAATTAAAAACAAATTCACAGCCAGTTAAATATCGCATGCCCCCAGACACACTGTTATGTAATATTCACATCCTGTGTAGGCTCATTTTGGATAATACTGTTCCTGCAACTCAGAGGAAATGTTTTGGAAGGTATTTTATTTCATTCCAAGAAAAATGCCCAATCATCATTTTCTCTAAATGCGGCAGTGTCAGCTAATCTCCAGCTGCAGTCATTTGGAAATTTTTCATAAGATTTTTGAGCTCTTATCACCCTGCACACAGTCGCAGGTCAACAGGCAAGAACATGTGGCTGCTACAGGCCAAAGTGTGAGAACACCTCACCTCAACTACGTAATTATAATAGCCATTTCCACATCTCCATAATAAATATGCAATGTCTATACATATATATAGTCACTTCTTTTACATGCTTATAGTCCATTTTTAATTATGTGGAGTGCTATTTACTGCAAATATAATATCTATACGCAAGAAACTGTTTTTCCAGTTTTAACAGATTTATAAACAGAATCCATTTTAGGTGAAGACAGTTTTATTCTTTTTTTTTTCACATCAGATTTGGTTAGCTTGACAGCTTTTGTTTTACATTTTTCAGAATACATTTTTTGTTTATAATTTCAAACATTAGATGATAGTTGTTTTTTTTTGTTTGTTTTTTTACCAAAGTAACTGTAGTGTGAAAGTTTAGTGTTAAATACTAAGAACATGTGACTGTGAGCCAGACTTCATCGCTTAACAGCAGTGGTGGACTTCTTTTTTTGCTCTAATACGGGGATGTCAAAAACATGTTGCATTGTGGGCTATATACAGCCTACTTTAATCTTAAGTGGCAGAATCAGAGAAATTATCAAAAATGGTAAAATGTAAAATTACAAAAAAAAAAAAATCCCATAGCACACTGCCCAGAATGCCCAGTAAATATAAAATATACAGTTTTATAAAGTTTTTGTTAATTTGCATAAAATGTTTTTTTTAACAGTGGAAAAAAGTGTTAAAAAAGAAGACATCTTTTTATAGTAGACAAATTTCCTATCACTTGTTTATCTTAATTTAGTAGTATGAATGGCAATGGGGGAGGAGGTCTTTATTAATAGGAAAAGCGGGACAAAATTTATGCCCTCCTTCATTTTGTCTGTGCTGGACCATCTCTGGCCCACAGGCTTTATGTCCAGAATCTTGTGGAAAGTTGTCCAAAAAGAGTGATTGCTGGCACAGAATGACAGAAGAAGAAATGCCTAAAATTCACTTATTTTTAGTCACTTTCTGTATCTAGTGTAGGACAGCATTAGGCTGCATGATTCCTTACTGGTTTGCCATCATCTTTTAAACGTGTCACACACTTACACAGCAGCATAAAGCCCGCCAACTGCAGAGTGGATGAAGCCTCTCACAATAGTGTGCAGGACAAAGGAGACAACCTGAAGTAGGAGAGAAAAGAGGAAAAGAAAGATTTTTACAGTAAATACATGCTCAGGGCCGAGCTGCTGGGTTTTCACTGAAAAACAAAAGGGTTTGTCTTTGACAAATGAGATTCAAGAGAGAACAAAATAAACTGCAACAACATTTTTGTCCATTAGGTGGCTCCACATCACTTAGAAATATCAGCAGCTGCATTGCCATGTGAGTGGTTTGAATATCATGTACATCACTCTCTCTCTCTGCAGAGTTTAGTCTCCCTCTAGGGGAGACGTACAGCAGCAGCACATGCAGAGGAGCGTGAACCCACACCACCTAAACACTTTAATAAAATAGCTCCCCCAGCCTCCTACTGCATACCTGAAGTGGGAGGTTGGGGATGATGCAGGTGACTCCAAAGCCAACAAGGAGTATGTTGGTGAAGATAAAAGCTCTGGTGGCATTGACGATCTTCTGGATCCGTTTGTCAGGGCGACGGGGCTGCCCAGGCTCTCTGACAGAACAAAAGAAGAAAACATTAAAAAAAAATTGAGAAAAATAGAATTATTTGTTCCTCCTTAGCGTGCACGCTGACCTCTTGGTGCTCTTGTCGTTTTCATCCTCACAGTCTTTAAGCTTCCAGTCCATGACGTAGCCAATGACAGGAGAGGTGACCAGACACAGGAGCTGGAGCACGCCAAAGATGGAGGTGTACACGCTCACTAGGAGACAAACAGCGGCAGAGGCAGCGTTAATACGGTTTCAGGGTGAACATCCGGTAAACAGTATGAAGACATCAGAGGGTGGTGCACACTGACAGGAATGGAAAAACAGTTTGCAGATGTCATGGAGTTATTGGGGGGGCGGGGTCATGCTCTAGACAAAAAAGTGGACAAACAGTTTAGGGTAGGAAGGGGGGCAGAGGGTTGCTAGTGTGGCCTCAGGTCTCTTACCCACTTCCATCCTCTCCACTGCAACAGCAGGAAGCCAGCATGACAGAGATGTCAAAGAGGTGTTAAAGATAAAAACGCAACCACTCTCAAAACATGTATAGCTTGACACACTAACAACCACACACACCTGTGCTGAGGTCTCTGCCTGTTAGGGACTCCAGGATAGTGTTCATGGCTCCCATGTAGAATATGAGGCGCAGCTGAGTCACACACATGGTGATAAGGCTCAGCAAGAAGATGGGACTGAAGATACTCTTCATGAAGCTCTGAGCTGCAGAGGAAATGAGAGAAGTCAGGGTGAGATCAAATCACTGTGTTAATATACCACAAAGATATTAACCAAAAATATTGGATAAGGAGATTTTATTTCCTTCTGTACACAGTTGAAATCTCGTGGTAGGGGAATTATTCAGTGGAAAAACCAAAAAGCTTCACAGGCCTTTAGGGAAACATCCAAATCCTTTTACGGAGCAGAAAGTTCTATAATCTATTTTTATGACACTGCCTGCATCAGAAGATGTTTGCAAAATCAACTTTATCTGTGCACGATGTAGGAAACACTAAGAGCAAAAGTCAATGTAAGGACTAAGATCAACTGTTCATTGCTTGTGGGACATGATAATCAGTTTTCAAGTGTTCAGTGGTAAAAAAGAAATCATAAAATATATGAGGCCTAAGTTGTGGTACACTGAGGATGACTTTAGGCACAGCAGTGCTTTGAGATGAAAGTCCAACATGACTGTGCTAATTTGCATAATGAGTCAGCATAAAGGTGTACTGTTTACCACTTTATGAAAATAATTTACTGCGCTAGCAGGGATGCACTAAAATCCTGAGCCAATACCAAGAGATGTATTTACCATATTTGTTTCTTTTCTCATTGCTATTCATATCATATCAGTCAACTAGGCCAGTATCAGTCAATATCGACCTATATCAGGCTCTAAGTTCATTGCTGGTTCGCTGAGTGTTAATGTTAGCATTCAAATGTTTGCTAATCAAACAGGAGCACAGCTGAGGCTGATGTGATGTTCATTAGTTCTGAATGTACCGGACTGACTGATATGTTGGCCTGTTTTTACAAGTCTTTACAATTGATCCTGGTAAGACTACGACGTCTGCCAAATTTCATGACAATCACTACAATGGATGAGTAGGTAATTCACTGCAGCCGAAGATGTCAGACTGCTGTAACAGCGATTGTGATGTTTACAACATTTCCAGGAAACTGATTTTTTTTTAAAGAAAAAAAAGATTGCTCATTTCAATAAAAAATAGCAACGTACGAGTGTATTCATAGCATCCTGACAAACAACCTACATGATGATGACCTTGTTTGAAGCCTCCACTATCAGCACCAACAAACTTTCATCTAAAGTACAGATGGTGAAACATGCAGAGTCTCTTTTCACTTTCTAAACAGATGGAAAACTCCACTGGCTGAGAGGAACGGATGAGACTGACATGTAAATTTTCCCACTGGCACCCAGGTGTTATGGTGACATCTTAATGTGAATGAACTTCTGGAGGATTCAAAGGAAAGCGGGTTCTAGGAAACGTTGATCATTAATGAATCCTGTGGATAGAAGTGGAAAATGGACAGCTGTCCATACAGAGAAACCCCGGACACACCAACTAATGATGGGTACCCAGATGAAGCAGATGGGTTCATTGTCTTCAACAACAGGTATCTATCCTGGACTTAATTGTTTGAAAATGCTCATAGAGCACTAAAATAATTTATAAGAGAATACAGCTGTTAATCTAAAACCAGCTTATATTTCATTTCAACATTTACAAAATCTACCAATATATTTACAAAAAGTTCTTTGGCCTTCATTCTCTGTCTACAGCTCTAGTACAAAGTGTACTTAACATACCAAACAAGTGCTGACTGTGCCGGTCCAGATACATGATTTAAGTGCATTCCTAACAGAAAACACAAACATTTGAATCCGACCTTGATCCTTATATCTGAGGAGGCAGGAGGAATAGGCCAAGGCCTAAGATGCATGTACTCTGCAACCCTCACAGCTGCTTCAACTTACAGCAAACAGAGAGAGGAACAAGGTTGTGTTCAAGGGTGTAATATGGGCCTCTTTAAACATCCCGACATGTCCAGCTGTTATGAAACCAGCCACGGGCATCCTGAATGCACTCCAAACACACACACAGTCAGAAATTCACTGTAATGGCTGATAAAGTCCACCGCAGTGCTTCTCTAGGGCTCCCTGCCAGCGCGACACACACCTGCTGAGCCCCTTTCTAAGAACAGGGTCTGAACCGATTCCACGGTCCGTTTGGTACCAAAGAGACCGAGAGAGGTGTGACAAGACTAACCCACTGGGAGTCCCTGACCCTGTTAGAAAAGCCAGGAGGGACTGAAAAAGTGCATGGGTAACAGAGGTTACCTTAGCATGGATGTGATATTTTTTTGCCAACCAACCTAAAACACTACATACAGTGTTATCACATTTTAAAAATGTAAAAACTAAGAGAAGTGTTAGCCTTTTTTAAAAATTTCACACTTTTAATTTTCATCTGAAATACATTATTGTTAAATATTCTATGTAAATAATATTCATTGCCAAAATAAATTACAAAATTGTAAGTATATTAATAAGTCTATTGTCTATATTTTAACTTGGATTTATGATTCAAAGCACACAGTAAGGACATTAAGTTAATTTTTAAAAGTTCTATAACACTTTGCACTTACGGAGCCTACGCTATAACAATGGAATTCAAGTCTTTACTTTTCATATCAGTGGGATTTATTTTATTTATGTGGGATTCCACTTGGCATCAGTCCTTTCAAAGAGAAGAGATACACTTTTATGACTTGATTACTGGCAAATCTAACACACTTAGCACCTCTTTTGCTCAGTTTGTTTTAAGTCTAACTGCACCAACTGACTGACTTTTGAGTTGTGAGAATATTCATAAGCTAGTATCTACTCAAGAATGACTAATTTGATCACAAGGTACACTTGTGCTGACTTGTGCATGTTTTTGGATTTCTTCCTCTTACAGACAGCAGTTATATTCTGTCGGCAGCTTGCTTAGATTCCAGTTTTGACGACCAGATGGCAAAGAAAGCCACTGCTAAAAACTGTGAATGGGCTTTTACAGTCTTTCAAGAAACATAACTGTTGCTCCAATTCAACTAGTTTCTATTTTAAGTTCATCCTGTCTTTATATAACAGACTTTAGATGTTAGAGCATATTCAGACTTACTTTCCTCCTGACTCTTGCAATTCACCTCCAGGTCAACGGTGGACAGGCACAGCTTGTTGGCCTCTTGTGTGGACAGCTCTTTGGAGGGTGCCTCCTGCTGCTTTATGGCATGGCCTACGCTCAGACGGCGTCCCACTGTGGTCACCTGCCGATAAAACTGCTTCCCGGTGATCTTATGGTCAAATCCCAGCCAGCTGAATTTGATTTTCACCCTGAGAAAGGAAAGTAAGAAAGAAGGGGAAATGTAAGCAGACACCTAAAGGAAGAGGAAAACAGGCTAAGGAAACATTAAAAGATCCAGGTGAATGAGAGCAAAGTAGGCCGATCATCTGGTTTTATGGTCTTTCCCCTTTAGGGCTCACTTGGTCTCCACTGCATTATTTTGGGATTTACTGCACATAAGTGTGTGTGCTTGTACGTGTATACAATCTTGCAGTGTGTATGAGGTAAAGCAGTGATCTCTGTGGAAAATCCAGAATCCCTAGGCTCAGTCAGAATCCTTTTTCAAGCAGGTATAACTCGAGCTTAGCTAATAATACTGCAGTGGCTGCTTAAAAACAATAGCTGGAAGCTACACATATGTTCATGCGGCTTTGTGTGCATGCCAGACTAAGTATGCCTGTTTGTCTTACGTGAAGTCCATGTCTTCTGGGCCAGGGAAGGGCTCCAAAGGCCAGTTAATGAAGCAGTTCAAGAAGACGAGGCAGGCACAGCCGGCCCAAACCAGAAGGATGGAGATGAATGTGGCACCCAGATCATAGATCACCTACAGGCAGGAAGATGGGACGCACACAAAAACATCATAATGGAGAATCAATAACACACTCTCCAGTTGCAGGGTTATTCCTTCTGAGTTAATATTGCCCTTTAGGAAAATCTTTCAGTCATGGATGAGGACACGTGGATGTTTAAAGTAAATCAAGAATCAGCCACAGTAAGTGAGTGACTGTAAGTTACCTTGATGCCAGGGAAAGTGACAGCAGAGGAAGCATAGGATCCAATCATCAGGGCAATGAAGGTCGACCTCAGATCTCCAAACATGTTGGGCAGCTGTGAAGAGAGCAGACAGATCAGTTTACACATTTAACTGCAAGACCAAGTTCATTTAAATGCACAAAATGTCCACAGACTCATAAGAAGCAAAGCAGTCAAGCTTGACCTCTTTATGTCACCTAACTATGATTTACATTATCAAAAACTAGTGGCCAGAGGCTTAAAGGAGGACAAAAAATAATCAATAATCCATAGCATGCAGAAACTGCGAAACAAAAACAAAGATAAAACAGCTTTCTCGTTAGCTGTGTTATAGATGAAGGCTTTCGAGTATGAAAAGTGCCCAGTAGGAGGCGACTCCTCTCATTGCAAAAACGAGTCTGGATCTTTAGAAATCAAATGTAAAACAGCCATCTACTTGCTTGAGAAATAAACTTACCAAACATTTTCCTAATATCTGTAAGGGCTCAGTCGCTACTTTCAAGTTGTCTGCTTCCAAATGACAGTCCCATATAAAGCAAAACAGAAGATAAAGCAGCGTAAGGTGTGACTACCCTGTGACTAGTAACTACTACATGCGTGTGCAAAGCCCTGAACTATTCCCCGTGATGTCTGTGAAGGTTCTCAGTCATCCAGGTCATCGTAGTCAAAGGAGCTTGCAAAGAAAAGCGTCTGGACTTCTTTAAGTTACTTGAAGACGTTTCACCTCTCATCCGAGAAGCTTCTTCAGTTCTAAGGTCAAATGGTGGAGAGTCCCAGATATAAACCTAGTGGGAGTATCACCCCACAGAGGGACAAAAGGACCCCTGATGATCCTCTAATCGCCTGAGCCAAGGTGTGAAAATGGGTGTGGGTCCCAATCACCCAGAGTTTCGGGTGAGCTCATTGTGAAACCTGGCCCCACCTTATCATGCGAATTCCTGAGGTCAGATGGCCCAGGATGTGAGTGGGCGTTAAGGCGTCTGGGAAGGGAACTCAAAACTGGATTATAGATGGCAGAGAGTTGGTGTCGTAAACCCCCGCCTCTGTTCAAAGATGGTCGCTCACAGTGGACATAGATGGCTTCTTTCACTCCTCTTTCAAACCATCTGTCCTCTCTGTCCAAAATGTGAACATTGGCATCCTCGAAAGAGTGTCCTTTATCCTTAAGATGCAGATGGACAGCTGAGTCTTGTCCTGTGGAGGTGGCTCTTCTGTGTTGTGCCATGCGCTTGTGAAGTGGCTGTTTGGTCTCTCCAATGTAGAGGTCTGGGCATTCCTCGCTGCACTGTACAGCATACACCACATTGTTAAGTCTGTGTTTTGGCGTTTTATCTTTCTGGGACTCTCCACCATTTGACCTTAGAACTGAGGAAGCTTCTCGGATGAGAGGTGAAACGTCTTCAAGTAACTTAAAGAAGTCCAGACGCTTTTCTTTGCAAACTCCTTTGACTATTCCCCGTGATCCACCACTCAAGTACATTCAGGCAGGCATGTCTCTTTACAGCAATATAATACTTGTTTCTATAGAGCTCGTGCTCAGCCCTGTCGTCCACGTTCTACATTTGTAAAGGCAGATGGTCAAAATGCTGAACTGTTCATGTCTTCTGCTGCAAATGAAAGTTTTTAATGACAGCACACCATGAATCTGTTTTCACTGTGAGTAATATTAGCTCATGTGGGCTAATCTCAGCAAACCGCTATGCTACGCTACATTTTAGCATTTGCTACTTTATACTTGAATTGGTGCCTGAGGAAACAGGCTGTACTGATCAGGAAAAGTTACAGCATTGAACTAAACTCACATGAATCACAGCCCATTAACCTACAGCAGTGGAGCTGCTGCAGCCAAAATGACATCTATTACCCATCTATAATTGGATTAGCTTCATTTCTGCTCTGTGGGCAGCATATTAGGTTGCGCAATAATCTTTGTTGTCATATTTTGTCCTTCAATCCACTTAGACCTGCAAATGGCCACTGACTGTGAAAGAATGCAGCACACTGCATACAAATGGCAAATAGTTTAATCTGCTGCTCACAAATATTGACTGGTGATAGTCTTGTCCCCACCAAGTATTTGCACACTCTGCCTGCATTGATGAGTTTTTGTTCCGAGATCTGCAGAAGAGCAGAGACAAAAAAAGCTCGGGCCTTGCATAATGACACTCAGCTCTTGACGAGAGATAAGTGTACGCCCTGTTCCTTTACTAGGTAACTTCAGAGTGTAAACAGCCGTCTTGAGGAAGTGAAAAACAGTGTGAACATGAGAGCACCATGTGGCTGACTGGTCTGATGTAGGTCAGAGTTCATCTGTGCCATCTGGATTCAAAGTGCTATATAGGAGAGAGGAAATCAAACTCTAGAGTCAAAAGCATTGAAAGGAAGCTCCCACAGTGAACAAGCATGGGCAGGGAGTTCAAAATTTGACTGTAACTCATCACTGAAAGCGTTATTATGGGTCATAAATAGCGGAGGCGCTTCCCTCCAGCTCCCCTCTCATTGTCCTCATCTGTCCATCCACCCGTCCATCGAGGCGCTGTGCTCGCCACAGGGGCGAAGCTTGTTAGCCAGCTGCTCGAACCCCCTCACCCCATATGGACGTTACTCCCTGCACTAATTGGAGCAAAGGTGAGCTACAAAAAAAAAATCACTACACCCCAGCCAGGTCATCCAAAACAACAAGCCCCCCCCAAATTCCTGCACTACAAGGGGGCAAGTTGGCTGACCTTTGGCTCGCTTGGTGAAGAAGAGACAGAGGACATGTAGATCCCCGTCTCAGCAGATTCTGTGTCATGATGATGGCAGCCCGCTCACAAATCTATGCAGTCAACAGGTTCAGATTTCCCTGCTGACGCTGCAGCACTTCCTCACTCTGGCCTGTGATGATGGCTCTTTTTATGCCAGACTTTTGCAAGAGTTCTGTTATTATATTGTAAATCATGGGAAGAGCTTTGATTTAAGCAACTGAATGGAAATTATCAAGGAAAAAGTAATTCAATGTAATCCTCCATTATTTCATTATAAGCAGGGTGTTTAAGGACAACAGAAATCACTCTGGGGGGCAGATTCTCTAATAAATCATTTTAATCCAGGCCCTTAATCCCTAGTTCAAATAAATAGCTCCCCATTCAGTTACCAAATATTCAGTACAGTTAAAAAAGGAACAAGCCCACTGCAGTGTTGATAAGTCAGTCCCTGACTTTTCTGCCATTCACCTTTTTTGTCTGGTGAACGGAACTGTTATCATTGGCATTAACTTCGGTGAGCACACTGGAAAGTGGGAGAAAACAAAATCACGTGAGTGAATGGTAGCAAGCCCGAAGCAGTGGGATCTAGTGCTTGTGATACTGCTGAGCAAAACAAGCTTACGTCACACTGGGAGTTTCTGTGACTGACTCTAGTTCTTAGTCAGAGTCAGCTGCTGAGACCACTCTTTTCCAAAAACATGTCACAAACTGGTTTGGTCTGCTAATCATGAAAGGAGAAGTAGGGATTAATGGGTTCAGCAGCGTGAGGACAAAGTGTGGGCGGGTGCGTCGATGGGAGAAGCAGCTGTCGGGCTCGATGAGGAAGAGATAGCAGAGTTTCCGTAACTGCAGTCAATAACACTTAAGTCAGGCAGACTGACCAAAGAATCAGCTGTGGCCTCACGTGCTAACAGACACACTGTAACTGGAAATGGCCTCTCAACAACAGACAAAAGTATGCTCCTGTGATCACAAATTTGTGACGCAGTATAAACACACATTTTTCTCAAAGGGGATTCATTAAGTCTGTATATATGAACCAGCTCTTGATCATGAAAGTGATAAAAAAAAAGCAGCTGACTCTTCATGCAGGCTCACTGCTCTGTGAAGCTCTGTGCACAATCCCACAACACTGCAAATACACATAACATAACATGATAAGAATAGGTAACACCTTGTATTTTGTAATACTGTTTACATGAGCTGTACTAGTGTTTCGTGTCTATCTGCTAAAGGACTGCAGATTTAAATTAGCCACTAGCTTCAGATGAATGTTTTTAAATACAATAGATTTTAGCTCATTTCTGCCGCAAGTAAGATTAAATCTTTAATTTTTATATCTGCTCATTTCTTATTTGTCCTAGATTTATATCCCTCGTGAATATAAAGCTAGGTGGTCTTGAAACATCATGTTTTTCCTGGTGCAATAAACAGGTAAATCTGGAACTCTGCAGTGTGCATGCAGTTGAAGCTTTTCCCCTGTTATGTGCTTGTACATTAACCATCTTATTAATGTACCCTTACACTTTGTTGGACATATGATAATATTGTAGGGCCATGAGAATATACACTGTTCTGTACTGTGCTCTTCTGTACTTTTTAACACCAAGTCAGATGACATGAGAGTTTTCATAAAAATGTTTTAGTTGCAATTCCAACTTGGCAGATAGTATTTACAACCTAATTATGATAGATAATGACTTGAAAATTGTATTCATACTGTTAAATGTCAGCCATAGGATATAGTATATCTGCCGAACACTTTTTGGCAATCCATCCAACAGATGTTTGTTAAGCTAGCTAAAAATTTGTGTGTGTTTTTCAGTCCCAGTCCCTGTAAGACCTGACTTCAGAGAACAGCCGCTTGTTTTGGTGCTTTTTCTAATCATCAGAGGAATGTGTTGCCTATGTTTCTCGGCCTTCAAGGTACAGTATGTGATCACGTAGTTCTTGATCCAACACCTTCCCAGTGTTTGCTCTGGAAATTTCACCTCTGTCCTCACCTTTCTGCTTCACTAAATACAGGCTTTGCTAATCCCTTACTACTTCTATTAGTTTTCTAATCTCCACGTCATCACAAATATCACACTTGCTGTGTTCATTTCTGTTGTGAGTGGTGCAGGAACAGACTGAGAGCAACCTTATACCTCTCTGAAGGTAATAACACCCATCACTAACCGCTCTTGTTGCTTCGTCCCTGAATAGCCCTTTTGTTAGCTCTATGGTCACAGTGTATCCCTGCACAAAGTACACACATAGATGAAGGGCCCTGTATTTGAACAGCCACTGAAGGTCTATTTTATCTTCAGAGCAGTGACCTGGAGATAAGAGATCAGGGACTGGTTATTGGGTTCAGCAGGTGTGTGGGTTTTATTTATTTTTTTGGTAATGCACGTGCTTAATAAATGGTTTAAACATAAAGACAACTATAAAACGCCAATATATCTAGAGACACAAATATGAAAGCAAAGAGTGGGCGTTTGGGTTTTTGTTTGAAGGGTATCCATATAACTTATCATTTCAGCAAGCTGTCAATATCATCAGTGTGATTTATGTAAATGAGTGAAAAGAAATGTTTCTTTGACAAATGCTCCTTTTTGGCTAGCCTCAAGGACTACAGAGGTTGTTTTTTTTTTTTGCATCAGAACAACCCTTTTATCACTGAGGCTTGATACAAACAGGTGGATTATTTAAAGGCATGCTAACAGCTTAGCATCACTGTTAAGCCACGCACAACTTCAACAACACAGGCTAGCACTGATGAAAGAAATTGCATGGGCTAGAAGCATAGGGTGTAAATCAGTTGGATAACTGGAATTGGTTCTTGATTCTTGTGTTTTTTTAGTATAGTAGTTACCTTTGGCAAGTGTTCTTGTCTATCCTTACATCCTGAAGTATAGCAAAAACTACACATGGAAGTTGGGGACCTATGCAGCGGCCACGTTAGCATTGCCCTATTCTGTTGATAAGGCAGGCGGAATGGGCTAAGAAGTGTTTTATGACCAGGGGGGCATCCTGATTTGATTTGCAAAAGGCAATGTGCAAACAATGTTACTGAGCTTTCCAATTTAGTACAGCACTTAAAAGACCAGCAAACAGATCTGAGCAAAGTTGAAGGAGTTTGCAATGGATAATGTAAGCAAAGGTAATGAAACAGAGTCAAGTTAGATGGATACATTTCAGTCTGTGTCCAATAGAAAAATATAACGTTTAACATTTTAAATAAACAATCTGCCATCATCAGTGATTTAAAACCATTTTTTTATTAACACACCCAAATGGAAAAGGTTTAAATAGAAAAAACAGTATTCCCAAAACAACTTTATGTTAGGCATGTAACATCATAAATCTTTAGAAAAATTGCCCGAAAAAACCCCCCGACCATAATACTCGATGTGCTTCAGCTGTTACATTTTAAACACACTTTAACTCTACTTGTTTATTAGCAAATATTAACATTAGCATTTAGCTCTACCTTATGACAACAGTACAGATTTGCTAGCATACCTGTGTGAGTCAATACTGTAAAACTTTTTTTTAATAATGTTTGCTTCAAACAAACGCACAGGCGCGCTGTAACCTGGACAGCGCTCACTCATTGTTATTTGGTGACAGTGCTGAATGTAGTGAGTGCAAACAGAGGAGCTGTGACCCACTTATACATAATAAGTAGACTTATAAGTAGTGTTTGTTGATTATATATCAGAGGGGCTTCGGGCAAGATTGACTCAGGCAACTGAGTAAGACTACAGTCTGCATCTACTGTCTTATCACTGGACTGTGCAAACATTCTGTCATTGCAATTTTTTGGCCACGGCACACTTTTGCGCATAGTTTGTACGCCACCAGGAGTGTGTGTCTGTTTGCGCTGAGTGTTTAAAACTGAAATGAAAAAGGCAGTGTGAAGTGACAAAGACGTCTGGGTGAGGAGTGGGAAAATATGCTGAGTCTTTCGTGCAGAAAAAAAAGAAGAGAAAATTCGATTCAGCCCTCTGAGAGGAAAGAACAGAGAAATGAAAGGAGGAAGAGGGTTTTGCTGCAGCAAGTGGAAACTTCAGCACCCTGATGCTGCTTGACCATTGAGAACCAGCTCTGACTGGTCCTGTCCTGAAACACAGGATAGTCATAAAGAGCAGCCAAGTGGGCCATAAGAACAGCAAACACCAGATGACAAACACCAAAAGGCATACTTCATTCAACCTGACGTCATCTCGCTCTCTCGCTTATTAGAAGTCAATTTCTTTTTCTAGACATATTTAGGGGTGAAACCAGCAAACAACAAAGCCAGCAATGTTTCCACCAGAAATATGACTTTGGAAGGGTGGGGATGTCTCTGAGCTAACATTAAGATCCAACATTGCAGTCATTCCAGCCCCTCAGCCACCCCGATCAGACCATTCATGTTGCTACATAACACTCGATATTAGCGATAGCTGCTCTGTCTGGCCAGCTTCCATCTCACATTACTGAATAACTCCTGACCTTTTTCACTCCAACCTTGTTCCCCTACGTTTTGTGCTGTAAACAATTTATATAGTATACTGTGCTTCCTCCATCTCACTCCAGCCTGATCTTACTGCTTTTTGTTACAACTCCCATCACTTCAGCGGGTGGAATGAAGTGCTATGTGCGCACTTTACACATTGTCCAACTGAGAAGAAATCACTCCCCGTTTCTCCTTTAGCCACATCTCAAAGTTGGAAAGTGACTCAGTGAAGAGAACATTTACATTTCGCAGCTATGACCACAAGTCAGAGAGCTTGCTGGTAAATAAATGTGTTTTCAGATAGAGAAACAGTCTGTGCATTCAAGACATTGGACAAAAAGCAGATTTTTGAGCAGAGCTTCAGATTGAAACTTAGCAAACAGGGTGGGATACGAAATGTCCCACCAGCCAGACAAAAACAAGAGGCGGAGCTTGGGGTGTGCCTGTGGGTGTGGTTTTACAGTATGTATATGTATATGTATGTAGAGGGGTTTGTAACATGAAACTGCTTACAAGTCAAGACTGTAGGCAGAGAGAAAGTCATTATTAACCACAGCTCCCTTCCTCTCTATTGTCTCCTGTGCTCATCCTTCACTGCCTGTTTTCATCGACAGCTTGGGACAAAGAGTTTGGGTAGAATGTAGAATTGAGGCAAAGACAAAGAGTAAGAAGGGGAGAAGCCAAATGAACAGAGACTAAAAAGAAACGTAAAACAGTAGAGGAAGGGGATGATTTTGGGAACATGCACAGACACACAGTGGGGAAATGGCACAGGTCACGGTGACCTGAGGAGTTTCGGTGACCTATGATAGTCCAAATGCAGCTTGAGAGCTTTCCATGTCCTGAAAAATAAGGTTATAGTTTTCCTCTCACAACCCTTCACACAGACCTTCAGGAAAAAGAGAATGGAAACAGATAAGCATTCACACAGCAGCACTTTTTATTTGCCTCTTTCTCAGTTTCCCCAGCATTTGACCAATTTAAATTACAGGGGCTCCACTTTTTTATGATTAGGTTTTATTTTTCAATACTTCTTAGCAACATGGACCAATAAAAATTTTAAAAAAGTTAAATTTAGAAGTTTTAAAAATCTTCTACGACCTTCTGAATCTATCGATTATGTGCTTTTTAAGCTCTGCAAACACCCTGACACAGACACACTCACACACACAGAAGTGGCAGTATAACTGAAATGTTTGTCTGGACCTGCAGGGAGCGGTAACTCAGCTAAAATAACACACACACACACACACACACACACACACACACACACACACACACACACACACAGAGTTTCGACGGTTGTGTGAGAGCAGCTAAAACTGAAACAGGAGAAGACGAAAACAGCCAGGCTCAGACTAGTGTGTGTGTGGGGGGTGTGGAGGGAGGAGTGCAGCAAGATAAAACCAGCTGAACAGCTAGTGCATGTATCTGTCAGGGTCCTAATACACAGCCTGGAAAGGAAATGGAAAAGCATGGGTGGAGAAGGCAGACACACATACACACTCCTGTTGCTACTTCCTGTTTGAGCCCTTTCTGAGAGTCCACCTCGGCTGTTCAGGCAGGAAGAGAAATACTGTAGCTACCATGAAGCAACAAAGTGACGCACGCACACACACACACACAC